CACCCCAGATGGGACTCGAACCCACAATCCCTGGCTTAGGAGGCCAGTGCCTTATCCATTAGGCCACTGGGGCTGTGTGATGTGTTGCTGAATGACTCAGTGAAGTGTTTGACATTGTGTCAGATCAACAGCAACATGTTCACCTTTGTCTACATGATCAAAGCACAAAGCTGAGCACTAAACTTTTATTTTAGAAAACACAAGACCTGAGTCATTGGGTCAGGTCAAAAGTCCTGTCTGCCTACACCTCAGTCATAACTGAATGAAGAAGTTAGACATCTAAACACTTTCACACCATCTTAAACAAAGGAAACATGATGGTTTCACTTCACATCCAGGAAGTACTATCAGTTCAACTGTTTCTGTGTGGAGGTCTAAGCTTTCTAGAGCTGAGAGGCCTTGTTGTGCTTAGATTCTCCTGCAGATTAGACTAGAACTACTCTTCTGTAACAMTGGAGAGTCATTAGGTGCTTTGCTTGCCTGGCTCAAGAGAAACGTTTCTGTCACATGCATGAAGGTGAGTCAGGGTGAAACTGAAAAACTCAAAACGAAAGCTGCATTATAAGTTTTTGCAGGTTGAAACCTGAGACCCCCCCCCCCCCCAAGTTCTGTTTAAAGGAAACGTCAACGACTCTCTAACCTTCTGTCTTCTCTGTCTAAAACTTGTGTCAAATTTTATGTGGCCCGCAAGAGCTTAAACAATGTTTTAACGTCTTAAATTAAGTGTACACTGCTTTAAAACCAGCATTGACTATAGACTACATCTCCCATAATGCATGATGATTATTTTACCCAGAGAATGATGGCATCCCACCAGCAAGTGGAAGAGCAGAGGGTCCAAAAGTAGCTGGCAACCAGTGACATTTGYTGTGTAAAATCWYCATTTGGCTGCATTCTCACCAGTCACTTCGTTGTTTTTTACAAGAGAACGAATGAAAACACTGTTTCTATGCAGGAAATACTGTGTAGAGCTCAGTTATGGACACAAAACATCAAAGTTCATTACAACTGGGCACCTGTAAAAGTCAGCATTATGCTAATGAAGCCCTCAAAGTGAGTTTACCACCCTTGGTCTAAAATATGAACATTTTGTTGTCTTAACAGAAGTCCAGTTGTTTTTGTTGTTTTAACCTTCGGACGACTGAGAATCCTCCTGTCTACAGTGATGAACTGAACCACTCATCTTCGTATGTTGAACTACAACTGTGACATGACTGGGGATTAAATGACTATTTAATTATTAATTATTCCATTGAGATTACAGATCTCTTTTGCAAGGCAATCCTTTAATTTATAAATACTCTTGTCTGTTTTGGTGCAAAGAGTGAAACATGTATAAAAAGCCTGAGCTATTGCACAGTGGATCAGGCTGAGGGCAGTTGTCCAGTGTAAAGCCATTGCATATACTGTGATTCATTGTGTAAAATCTTGCTTAGCAGAAGCTGGGCCCATCAACCTCTAGGGTTATGGGCCCAGCATCCACTGCACCACTCTGATGATCACCCCAGATGGGACTCGAACCCACAATCCCTGGCTTAGGAGGCCAGTGCCTTATCCATTAGGCCACTGGGGCTGTGTGATGTGTTGATGTTTTAAACTGTGCTGAATGACTCAATGAAGTGTTTGACATTGTGTTAGGTCAGCAGCAACACGTTCACCTTTGTTCAGATGGATAAAGCAGCACATTTTCTTTGTTTTACTGCATTAACTTTTTAAAACATTCAAATTCCTTAGGTTAAAGTATTTGGAGAAAAAACATTTTTAAATCAAGTACCAAAGACTTACAGCTGATAAATAAGTAAGAATATGTTCAAACCAGGTGTTTTTTTTTTTTCAGAAAAACTAAATTAATTAATTATTTGAGGTAATGGTTACTAAATTGAATTCCCATCATTCTCTCTGAACTATACAGGTCTTGTTTATTTAAATGAATTGCAGAAACATCTGAGGATTTAACACCTCCAAATAAGAAACAAGCCTGACAAACCTGTTTCACTGCTGTGATCATGAAAAAATAAAACCATCAAATTAGCTTCTTCCATTTATACTTTTTAATGACAGGCAGGAAGACTGGCGAGGCATTCATCTAAAGTTAGCCAATAAAATGCATGTTTTTTAAATGAAAAGGTTAATACCAGATTGACCCTGTTGTGTCTTTGTACAAAGGTTTGCACCGGACAATAGATCTGAAAGATTAAATCACAGCTCACATCACTGTCAAACAATCATTCATCAGTACAAACAATGCAACATACAAAGATATAAATTATATGTAGTAAAAGCAGTTTGACGAACATTTGGAGATAAATGTCCGTGGTTTCTAACCGTTCATTCTAGAGGTGGGGAAGTTCATGTGGAGCAAGCAAAAACAAACGTATTTATTTCATACAGAACAAGACGACTAAACCAACCAGGGATTCATGACTCTCGTGTTCTGGAGCTTCACGGGATGAAGAAAGTCCTTAAATAATCGTTCACAAACTTGAAAAGGTCACAGACAGTAAACATGCACGGTTCACAGCCCAAAACTCAGCAGGATCCGTTTCTCTCTCAATACGTAACATTACAGCAGCGAGAAAAGGCCATCCCAGGCGTTTTAAATCAAACATGCATCAGATGATCCCAGGACCGACTCAAACCTGTCTCTGTACTGAACACTTGTTCTAGATAAACTTAAAATAGTAACTCATTTCCTTCAATACCTTCTCACAGTAACAGTGCTACTATAAACTCATGGTGCTGGCTCCCAGAACACAGTACTGCATTAGTCTAAAAAACAGACAAACATAAAAAAAGTAAAAATTCAAGCAGTGGCATTAAAGGAGACGTATGCTTTAAATTCCCTTTTCACATTTAAATCATATAGTTGGGGTCTATAAAAAGTTGAACTGCAATGATTTAGTCTGAAGTTGTCGTTATTGTAACTCCACAAGCCCCTCTTTCACCTCTTTTCTAAGGTGCAATCTCAGAGCAACTCGTATTGACGCGGTCTCTTTAAATACATTTTGTTATTGCTCAAAAACTGCAACAGAGAATAGAAAAAAATTAAACAGAGGTTTAAAAACAAATAAATAAAATAACCCAAACAGAACTGTTCTGCACTTGTAGAGACTCTAACAAAATGTATTTAAGGGCTAAAAATGAGGATTTTGCATGTGTCCCCTTTAAAAAGAAGTGGCAACATTTGTGATCTCACAAGCTTCACTTCATCATAAACCTGAAGGTAACCAAATGTTGTTGCTGTTTCACCATTTCATAGAATATGTGTTCGTAGTCCAGCACCAGTTTGAACTTGTGTCATCGTTTCTACAAGTAGCACTTGCACCATTTTAGTTAAATAAAGAGCTACAATAGAAAACTCTGCAACACAGGAATATTGGATTTCTAAGAATGAGAATACTTCAGGAGGAAACACAGAGCTGCTGGATGAGTCTGATTAAAACACACCAATGGATGCCGTCAAAAAGATCTGTTTTTAATACCGCCTACCAAGTAGTGCACATCAGTGTTGAGCAACTTCCTAAGTCTGACCACAAAGACACGGTAGTATAAGGTTTCACACACACACACACACACAGCTATGTCACATCTACAAGAGACAGCAGGCTCTGAACAGGGTCATCCCCGACTGAGAGGTGATGTGCAGGGACAGGCTCTCATTGGCCGAGACGAACAGGACCGTTCCGCGTCTCATTGTGAGGTCCGACAAAGCAGCCGCAGAGGTGGCCACGGCGTCGCCTTCGATGGCCAGGAGGATGCTGGCGCTGTCCACTGAAGCCACGACGTAGTCCTTCACGGAGGTCGGGACCTGCAGGGGGACGGGAGAAGTGTTCAGCCGCAGAACTTCAACCCAGCGTTTCCACACATTCGTGAAAGGCATGTGTTCTTTAGTGTAAATCATCAACACAGGTGGTGGTTTGTTTTCTGGTACACATCAAATGTGATAATCAACAACAGGTGTGAGCAGAAACGTGACTGCTGCTTCAAACAGGCTCATCTACCAGGTGACAGCACAGGTGGTGGTAAAAAACTAAACGCTGGAGGAGAATCTGCTGCTCAGAGGTGAGAACTAAACCACAGTTTGGATTTAAATCATCATTACTGTCAGTTAAATTACTAAAGACACAACTTTAAACATGTTATTGTCATTTTTTAGTAACGAATGCACTGTAAAACAAATGCATCAAATGATTCAGATAAATTATTAGTGTACTGATAATTTAACCAGGAACCTAAACACTGAAGTGTAGTTGGCTGCAAAAATATTCACACCCTAGTATTATTTTTTATTATTGTTCTACTGCCTCACAACACTTAATTACACTTAATTGGTGCTACTCAAAATCTAGCTAAATTCTACATACAAGTTAGGCGCACCCAAATTTTCAAACGCGTTGTATTTAACACCGGAGATTTCCAGGTTTACTTTAAAAAATAAAATCAGTCCATTAAGGCAATAGTAACTCACAAATAATTAGTTAATCTATTAAACAAAGTTATTTATCTGATTCAGAAGTGTACAAGGTATATACGNCCTCACCAGGGAGGCGTCCAGGAGCCATCCTAACCAGATGCCGGAGCCACCTCAACTGGCTCCTCTATTTTAAGTGATTCTATAAAATTCTAAGTGCAAATGTCTAAGGGCTGAACGTCTTATAAACATCTCAAACTGAACATTTCAAGGTTAAATGTCTTTTAGACTCATGCCCGTCAGATGGACAACTCCTGTAGTTTGGCCTTCTGCATCTTTGGCCTTGGCTAAATAAGATGATGAAATAAGAATAATAAACACAGAACCGTGATCGATAGCAGAAATATTACTAGTATTCATTAAAATACTGTACAGCTTTTTTTAAACGAACATGAGTTTAATTTGCATCAGTAGAATCTTGTGTATCTCTCACTTAAATAACTAACAACAAGTCATAAAACCCGTTTCAGATACCTGGAATGTAACTGCTGTGAAGCCGATTAAGTGTAAAAACAATTTGCCATACACAGAAGCCAGCTGTTAAATTGGCAAGATGGACTTAGTGGCAAGCAAATATCTGTATCTTCTTTTCATGTCCATAATTAACGAGGGGAAAAAAGGTTTTCTCACTCCGATTTGAAAGAACAGAACAAAACAAAACAAAAAATAAATAAAATAAAAACCTAAGGTTGTTCCGCTATGCGTGACGTGTGTGTTTGAGTGCTGTGTTGATATATGGAAACTTTTTGTTGGGACCAGCATAGACACACTCAAATGAACTTTGCATTTAAAGGAAATAAACTTTCACATTGATGATCTCCTTTAGGACAGAAAAGGCATCTATAAGATAATGAAACAGTTTCACACACAGTCGTCATACTTGTATCTTTATGACAGTGAAGTCCGGCACTGGTGGGTTGTACAGGGTTACGCAGGGGTCTGAGGGGTCCTGGACACACGGGAAGATTTTGGAGGAGGCAGGCGCTGGTTTGTAGTTCAACATCTCACACAGTGTGTTAACGTCGATGTATTTGGGTGTCAGGCCGGCCCTCACAGTGTTGTCTGAGCAGGCCATACACTCGATGCAGTCTACATGGACAAACAAAACAGAAAAAAAAAAAAAAAAAAAAAAAACTAGACTGAACATCTTCCAGCTGCATGGCTAAGTGATGACAGATATCTGTCTCTGTTCTACAGACTGCTGAGCTCGCACAAAGCATTCATCTTTTATGATTTTGTGGTCAACATTCTGGAAATGATGCAGTGAAGCTGACTAAATACAAACACATCGCTTTAAACTGATTTTAATCTGAGCTTGGTTGGTTCACCACAACTGTTACTAACAAATGCTCAGATCCAGTGGAAGAAAAATATTCTGCCTCTATGGAAGTTGGCACAGATATCAGATCAACCAAACGACCCACTGACCTCCATAAATGTAAGCGTGAGGCTCGTTGGCTCCTAAGAACATGGCCTGGCCCGGTTCCAGAACCACATAGTTGAGGAAGTAAATGGAGAAGCAGCCGATGTCTCCGGGATACTGGGAGTGGAGGCGGAGCAGCAGCTCACCGTTGCTGCTGGATGTGTCCTTCCCTGCTGCACCTGAATGCACCACAGATTTTCTCGTGAGAGTGAGGAAACTGACCCGTCTCAATGCGGACCACCAGACAGTAGTACTGGTAATCTCTGCTCGCAGTCACAGGAAACATCTAATGTGGATCTCCACAGGTAGAGACAGAGATCACATGTTTATGATGGAGATTCTCCTTATGGTCTGCAGCTAGACACTGTAGGGCTCTATCATTTCTGCCATGCAGAAAATGTGGACAAAATCGCAGAATTTACCAAATAAGCGGGAAAAAAAATGCAGAATCTCAAGGAATTCCCTCATTTGGGCAGGCATCCATTATCCTCCTGATAGTTAAAGGGATCCCCGATTAGTTCTAACATTAAACTTTATTTAGTAAACATATATTTTAACTGTAAAATAAAGACTGTAAAAATACTGTAGGCTGTTTTGTTTTGTACATTTTAAAATATATATTTTAACATGGACGGAGCCATTTTATTTACATGCAAAGCATTCTGGGTAAATGATAACGTGCGTAGGTCATTGGTGCGAGGCTGCTAGCGAGCTATATCCACCCTGAAGGTTAATCTTGGACAATATCTGATGACTGACTCTTTTAAATGAAACCAGAGAGCGTTGACAGAGAGGAGAAGGTAGAAATGACTCAGCCTGTAGCTGAAAATACGGATGGAGKACCTCAGTTTAGCTTGTTTGTTGCGCTAGCACCGAGCTAATACATATAAGGCAATATAGCGTCAGTGCTAGCACAAAGGCTAACAGGCTAAGCTGAGGTTCTTCTTCCATGAAGCAGCTCTGTTGTCCTCCATCTATATTTTCAGTTACAGGCTGAAACACACATGGGCTACCTTCTCCTCTCTGTCAACGTTCTCTGGTTTCATTTAAAAGAGTCAGTCGTCAGATATGGTCCAAGACTAACCTTCAGGGTGGATATAGCTCGCTAGCAGCCTCGCACCGATGACCTATTGACATCATAATTTACCCAGAATGCTTTGCATATAAATAAAATGGCTCCGTCTGTGTTAAAATATATATTTTAA